TTAACCAGTCGTTCGACCTGTCACGATCAAGCATGATCAAGCGAACAATATATGTACAATATGCAACTCAATATGTTATTAGATTGTCTCATCTAAACACAGCTTTGCTGGCGGCCAGGGCGCCTACAAGCAGTACAGCCTCATTAACAAGCGCGCAGAGTACCTAGTTATCCGATTCCTTCGCGCCATCGATGCTGAAATTGGCCGCTACGGACGTACCAACATTTACAATGAAGCTGACCGCACGACGTATAAGTTGTTTATAGATCAGGAGGATGGTGGGTGGTGGATGGTGGATGAAAATACTAGGAGGTAGTACCGCCTGAGACCGTCTCAAGGCTGCTCGGTCGTCTATTCTACCTTCCTTCGTTTACCCCTTGGATGATTAACGCCAGTTCGTTCTGTCAAGCCATCTTCACGGACACCCTCCCGAGAAGATCCTGTTATAAATGATTATAGACGAATATGGGATGCTGATAATCACCATCAAAGATTCCCATCTACTATGTACGTATTCTACCTACATACCCGTCAGTGATTACTAGTGTAGTGTATGCAACTTCTTCAGCAGTAGTATAGCAAAGTAGCAGCAGTAATCCTAGTCTCTTACTCTTTTAGCCCTTAGGGTTGCAACTTGGAACGGACCCTGTCTCTCCTCGTGCAGCAAATGTTCCAAAGCGTCGATTAAGGGGGCATGATTGGTCGACGGGATTCGGCAGACCCCCCGCAGACCCCAAGACGTTTCCAAGGGCGCCTAAAATCTGAATCGAGCCAGTCAGTGCTCGAGGCCGTGTACAATGTCCCTGTTCGTCTTATTATTCCTTTCACAATTCTTATTACAACGCCTTCGAGAACTTTCCTGTAGACGAATCACCAAGCTCCCTTCCCGAGCTGTCTATGTAACCTGCATAGTAGATGTACATATGTATAGCTCATGTGCCCAAATGTTATCCTATCTCGAATCCGGAATAGGTAATCTTGTATATATCGTAGTTCTTCTCTTTCACCCCAATCGGTGTTGTAGTAGGACGATATCTACGCGCCGACAAGCCTTCTAACCTTACATAGCTCTCTTCAGCACAATTCGTCACTCGCAGTAATGCATGTGATGCTCTCTCATAACTCGAGGCCGGAGGATTAAACGGAGACTTATCATCGATTATGTTATGCCTATTCCGTACATGTTAAGCATGTAAAGCCGTTACCAAGCTCAGCTTGATGCCTGCTAGTCATCTCATCTCTCCATATGCACGATGCAATCGGACGGCGTGCTGCAATCTCACCTTTCGAGAGGCCCATTCTAATTTACATAATTGTCCATTGTTCCCCTGTGATCTTCTAGAATATTCATCCCATCGTAACGGGTTTTAACTCCTCGATCTTAGACCATCTCTACATACAAGACGCACGCCATTACGAATTAGCGCCAGCTGAAGAATTGTTGAAGACACAAAACTAGGTTACTGGATTGCATAGTAATATCTCAAGTTTGTTGCGAAACTCGCTTCCCTCCAATGCGTTTGAGGCGATCTTCCTACCCTTAGTCTTGACAACTATATCCACTATTAGCTGGGTATATCCGTTAAAGCAAGGCGAGTAGCATACATAGGTAGGCACCCGTCTAAGTAGTCGAGTTCGGCATAAAGGGCAGGGAGGGTGTTTGATGATCCTCAAATCTCAGAACGTCCGTGTTATTCAGAAGCCCCTGAACCCGCGGCATCTGTGATCTGAACCTTCTTAGCGGATCAGATCTCGAGAGCCTCAACAAATGCTGCCTACTACTACACTGGTAATGTTTTGGAAAAAGGAAGAATCGAAACTAATAAAACGATCCTCCCTTGATCCTCTAGACCCTGCTCAGATAGTGCAACGTCCGTGTTTTCAGTAGCGACGCCCGTCATACATAGTCAAGCGTGGCATACCGATCTCAATAGCTTAGTGCTTGTTGATCCTTCGCCCACGGGCAACTATGTACTTTATCTAATGGGCTAAAGAGGTTGCATGGTAGTTACCTAGGTTAGATCTTTCTCTAGCCCACGTCTTTTCTGGCACAATCACAAATATTTCTTCAACCGCACTTTGAAATGGGTAGTAGGGAACCTTTTTATCTACTGTGTATCCTTGCTCCATACGACCCCCACCGGTAGGTACCGATAACTAGGATGCCATACTCTTTTACCTATGTATGTAAGGGAGTGCGTTTGAATTGATCTTACGTCTCATTCCACGTGTGCCCGGTCACCGCCAAGTGGGACTCTCGGCACTTTTGTGACAAGGTCTGCATTAAGAGGTGAGCGCTATATTCGTTTAGTTGATAAGTCCGATGTAGGAAAGTTATCTGAGGTTAAAGCTTGGTGTTGAAGATGCGGTCGGTAAGTTGGGTTCAAGGCATGAGAGATGAAGGGTATGAGCATGGCGGAACTAACCGCTTAACCTCTCCTCATATGTATATTGTGTAAACTGCCAACAGCCGGGGCCCCGGAGTCGGCCCTGAAGCCAAGCTTTCCGTTCTTCAGCCATAAGACGTCAGAGATAGGGACTTGGCTTTGGATGAACCCCTACCCACGACTTCTCCGCCCGCCGCCAAAAAGAAAGATCATGATCACGCCGTCTCGTTCGATGATGATCTATCATTATTCAAGTCTTTCTCCACGATCTTCGACTATCTTCGACGTTTTCGTCGATGCGAAAAGGTGATAGATAAGCCCGGGGTAGCCATTGCGGCTTTGTCCCTACAATATTTCGTTTGGTTATGTGACCGCAGTGGTTGACGTAGGAATGATGTCCCAAGGAGGTAATCCTTGGCGGTCCTTCATCATGAGATTCTTTAAATACTCCTGGATTGTGTGGCGCCACCGTGGGTCGTTCGTGGTGCCATCACCCAGAGGATACCACACGATCCATTGAACTCTTCTGGGCACGCAAATTCGGCATCTTTATCCCGAGCCCCTACTTAGATATGCTGACTAGATATGCCCGCGTTCATAAGGGGCGTTTCTTTATATGCAAATAAATCAAATGACATGATCAGAGCAGATCTGTCGTCTGATTTCATGTAGAGTCGTCCAATGTAAGCCTGTCAGAGTGACTGCCGAGCTGTCATAATCAACAACGAGCAACAGCCAATAACAACATTGCATATTGTGCTGTGACGAACTGTTTCTTTGCCGTTTGAATAAACTTGGAATAGTTGGACCCTGAATGTCCCTGCATAAGGGTTCCGACAGGGGAACTATACATACATACCTAACCTACCTACATGTATGTAGTGTAAACGCTGTCAATGTCGAGGCACATGAGAACAGACGGGATCTTGAACAAGCCGGGCACCCCTGGGAGACCCGATTCGACGAGACTGAAGCCCAATTGAACTTCCAAAGTTGCTTGCTTTCGACGTATCAACGGTGTTTATTGGATACCAATAATCTTTACGAATAATCCTTACCCCAATACACGTTGCCGGATCCAAAACCTGTACAGAACTAGTTCAAGTCTTAGATCATACCTTTCTTTACCTCGTCTTTTCTTTCCTCCCAGAGTGTCTTGCCAGTGCACGAGCATACTGTCTTATCGTTGTCCCACATGCCAGCACTCCTCGCAATGACACCGACGACAGTGTTTTCATCATTGCTCAGATCCGCTTCCGTGATGCCTTCCTGCTGGCTAGAAACAACCATTGCGTGACCAATCACTTCCCAAACCTGAAAGGGGTGGTCGAAGAATACTGCGCCCCGACCATCCTTTCCAACCTGTACAGTACCCAAGATCCCCCGGGGCTGCGTTGTGCCACTCCCGCCTGCCCATACCGGACCTGTAGATGTAGCACCGAGCTTGAGGTCGCCGTATTCTCTTATACTTGCCGAGTATGTACCAGGCTTAACTCCACGAACAGTCAAATCCACCAAGGTTATTGTAGGCGAGACTTGAACCATGCGGGCTAAGCCCCTGACTTCTCTGTCGTTTAATCCAGATCCTTCCGTATCCGCCTCTGGAGCAGACGCAGGCACCAGTGCATCACCACCCTTCTCATTACGGTGATACGTTTCGAGAATGCATACAGCTGCGCCTAAAAGAATCTGTATCAGCCAGCCGCAAAAGCCAAATAATTATCGTATCGAATTAGGAGATCCGGAATGCAAGTCGGCTGCTTCGGTGAAGCTCGGCATGAGGTAAAGGAGATTGGTGAACTTCTCCGTGCGGCCTTAAAGTAACGGCCGATACTTTGCATAAATCCAAACAGAAACATACGAGGTAATATATAATATATAAGGAAATGTAATCTTAGTTTTGTAATATTTCACTTACTGTTCGAAGCACCTGACCCTCTTAGAATAGCATCCCGACCTGTAGCTTCAATAGCGCTAACAATTGCGGACGGGGCAGCTGTTTAAAAAACATATTGTGTTAGTCTCAGATCGAGATCTTTCAACCATGTAGCCTCTCTTGCGTATGGATTCATCTTACCGGTCCCTTCTACTGATACGAGCTGCTTCTCTAGGTCGGCTTCGACCTTAGTGATGCCTCTGAGTTTATATAGCACATCCGAAACATCCTTGACACAACCGTCACAGGTCATCGGCACAGCGAATAAAGTCTATATAATTCGTTCATGCTCCCATTAGCTTATACTATCTCGGGTTTAATAGATATTAACTCTTCCTCCAAGGCTACTGATAACGACTAAGGTAGCCACGAAAGAAAAGAAAAAGTAAACACAGATAGACGGACCTGAAAAGGAGTCTTGGCCTGATTATGAACCGTCATCTTGTCGCCGGTAGCAATAGAATATCTGTTAATATGAAGGGAAGCTTCTCGCTGGTTACGGTGATAATAAGACTCGGCAGCGACGCCAAGGAAGAAATAGCCAGTACCCGTAGCAAAGGAGCGAAATGATATACCATGCAAGTATTTTAGCATCATATGCTCAGAGGCAGAAGAGGGGACGAAGGGAGCTTCATAGTATGTACATATGTATTACTATCGATCATGTAGAAACAGCTGGAAGCCATTCACTTACACGATAGAGAAAACCCACCTTATTTTTTACCTAAACTATGTACCTAGGTACCTAAATAGACCAATAAAATGTAATAAGCAGGACTTTTGCTTTGAAATCGCAATTCCTTTCTCAGAATTGATCCGATTCCACTTCCTAGGTTAGAAGGTACATAGTAGGTACAACTATGTAGATGCGGGCTCGGTCCTCGGTCATTATGCGCTAAAAATGATGGTTATCGCTTATCGATAGGCGGGGAAACTTAAATGTAAAATAGGTAGGTACCTAAGGTACGTATGTAGATCTCAGTCCCTGCCGCACACGTGACTGCAACTCTTAGAATATCGAATTCTGCTACCTTAGGTCTAGGAGGTAGTTATTGCACCTTAAACATCCAATAAACCCTGAAGCCGCGAATTCGGCGACAAACGTACCATTGCAGCATCATAAAGGGTCCTCCAGATCATATATGCGCCCCTCGTCGACCTCGTCGAGGACATCGAGCATTTAGACATATACCTTGACGACGAGGGGCTAAAGCTTCCTCCTTCCTCGAGAACCGTCACCATGTCGCAGACAATCGGGCCGGTAAGCTCCTCCCCTTCCAAACTCGTCGAAGCGGCATAGCGAAGACTCACAAGTATGTTCTCCCGAACAGACGAAGCTAGCCTACTCGCGAGTATGGCACCACATCAACGCCGCGGCGCCACACCCTACGCTCTCCACGCAACCGGACGTAACCCCGCCATCTCTAGGCCGTCTGGCTTCGCGCGTCGCCGTGATCCTCATGGGCAAACACAAGCCGATCTGGGACCCGTCGACGGACTGCGGGGACTACGTGGTAGTAACCAACTGCATGGCCCTGCACGTCACCGGCCGCAAGCAGTGGCAGAAGATGTACCACCGACACAACACGCGGCCCGGCTCCCTGCAGTCCGTCACCATGGACGTGCTCATGGCCAAGTACGGCGGCGCCGAGGTCCTGCGCAAGGCCGTCAGCGGCATGCTGCCGAAGAACAGGCTGCGGGACGCGAGGCTCGAGAGGCTGAAGGCGTTTGAGGGGGACGCGCACCCGTACAGGAAGAATTTGATCCGGTTTGGTAGCGCGAAGGTGGGCGAGGAGGGCTGGACCGAGGTGGCTGAGGCCATACGGCGGGCGGGTGCGCGGAGGTTGTAGCGGGATGTTGCTCTAGAGGAAGCCTACCTAGGGAATATGAGCATGAAGGAAGGCTTTCGGGCGAGAGAGAGCGGGTTTTGCCAAGGGAATACTAGCTCTGCATATCTGCTATGTACTACACCGTATACATATAATGAATACATCTCATAACAACCAACCTGACATGTGGTCGAGAAACCGATATCCCCGGGTATATTGTAGGGCGTATATTCAATTCGAGTGCAATGGTGTTACTTGGACTAGCCACGGCTAAGAGTGAACCAAAGCCGTGGGAATGAGCGTACATATAAATGATATTTAACAACACGATTCTAGGCATGAAAGAGGACTTTGCGAAGTTTGAGGTCTTGTCTTGAGATGGTATCTAGATACTCGTTCCGATGCAATAACAACTTGATAACCCGGCTAGAATCTCATTTCCCCGATAATTAATTACGGAATTAAAAAAAAAAAAAAACAATCGCAGGCCCGCGCATTACGCCGAAGACATGATACAAATCTGTATAGGTAATAAAACAAAATAGCGTCTACGAGCGTGAGATTTCGACTTTTATCAAACCGTTGGGTCCGGACTGCGGCGCGTATACTTCGGCGTCCTTGCCCGTGTTCTTAAGACCCTTGTGCCAGGATAGATCTGCGAAAGTGAATATTGGTTAGAGGCTGGTTGGTCCATCGTTGATTGATATAATAGGAGGTGTGTAGACTTACCGATCTCAAAGTAGTGCTTGTTGGGCAGCGCGTAAGTGACCGACTTGACCTCAGACGCGGCCTCGAGGATCTGCTCGCCCATTTTGTACATGGTATGCTGGACCGAAGGACTGCTCTCTTCGGCAAAGGTCTTCATGGTGATTTTACGGGCGTCTTCCCAAGCCTTGTCGAACTGGCCCACCTTCTGCTCGACCGCCGCCACGCTAGGTAGAGTGTTCCAACTCCAAGTAGCGTCGACGTCGGTCGAGAGGATGCGATCCCAGGTCTCGGGGAGCGTGGTGTACTCATCGCGAATAAAGCCGTGGAAGGCGGACCCGGTGCTTTTCAGCACCAGGAGCCCCGCGATGCCGCTCGTGAGCTCGATTCCCTGGCGGGTAATACGGGCCTCGACGTTGCGAGTCTCCTCGCCGTCGCGGTAGAAGCTGTGGGGGTGCTCCTTTCCGTCGATGATCATGCGGGACCACCGCTTTACGGCTATGCTGATGTTGGCGGCGTGGATGTGGGCGTATTGGTCTAGGAAATGCTGTCCCAAGTAGCTGGCGTACAGTTCCGGCGGGTTTACGGGGTGCTCCTTGGCTTTGATGTAGATGGTGTTCTTCATGGAGTCGGTGGCCACGACAACGCTATTGTCCGCCACCGTGTACGACGATTCGATGTCCCCCTCGAGTAAACAGCATACGGTCATCTCCGTGACAGTGTGCGTACCCGTCGCCTCATCCCTATGGACTTTGTACACGCGGACATTGTCCTTTCCGTACCGAGCTGCTGATACGACGGGCATGATGGAAAGAGTGTGCTCTTCTGTTTTTTCTTGTTCTCCTCGCTCTTGCTTATTATGATTTACGAAGATTATGAAATCCGTAAAAGTTAAATATTCCGAAACCTTTGGGGGATGCCGATAACCTTGCTTTATAAGGGATGGCTTAGGTGCAACGTGATGCAGAATGTTAGAAGGCGAATCTATCCTGTACAATTGTAATCAAACGAGACAATTGAACACTGAATAAGAATAACAATACGAAGAAGAAGAAAAGGGAAGTCGTGAATCATTGGCCGAGTCAGTCTACAGAAGAAGGAAAGAAAAGAACGCGGTGTAAACGGAAAGGGAGAAACAAGACTTTGTATTTATATACATCGGTCCTAGAGCGATATGGAGCTATGTAGGTTAGGATGTATGTATGTAAAGGTAAGGAAGGTATTTACCTCGGACCTACATGTAGGTATGTCTCTTGTACGTTGGAGATACTCCAGCTTCTCCTAAACTCCAAGCCACCAAACGAAGCTACCTACATACCTACTAACCTTCTGACCTACACTTACTAGACTACCGACCCTCCATCCCAAATCGAGCTGCATACGTAACCTGAATAGGTTCACATAGGATGCAGGGACGTAGTAGTCTACGCAGATCCGGGTCCTGGACAGTCCCGGATTTAGCTGCTCGACTGGGCAGCGCAGCAGGTTGGCCGTTGGCCTTTGGCTTTTGGCATTCTGCAGATCGGAAAGCGCCTGAATCGGATGCATACGGCATTGCATATGTACATGGATGCCTCATACATACATACATACATAGGTGCATACATGCATACGATATGATATAATACAAAGGCGCGCAAAGCTCATCTCATGCCCGCTGGTCACCGATAAGAGGAGTACCGCATAACGTATAGTATGGGAATATGTAAAATGTAGGTAACTAGGTAAGTTTGTTACACAAGAACGGCGGCGGGATTGAGAAGAAGAAAAAAAAGGAGGGGACTTCTTAGTCCTCTTAGTAAAAAATGGCGTAAAATGGACCCAGTTAACTGGCTCCGGATGGGTCTTAAAAGCTAGGCTTGCTGGCTTGCAGTTGCTTTACGGCGAGCTTTACCCCAATGACCAATAAGAATGCATCCTTTCCATTGGCAACTTTTTTAGTTGCTCGATACATCATACCGTACCTTACGGAACCCGCCGACTCCCCTACACCCCAAAGGCCGACTCCTACCGTAATCGGTATTCAGTTGTCCTGCCCAGGTCCGCCTATGTACATACATAGGTAAGCTCTAGCTTCTTATTTGTCTTACCTTTTGCTACATATGTATCGATATCACCCTTCTTTGCTTGGTGCTAATGTAGGCAACATGCGGTCTAGATCCCCAATCTAGAATTTGTCGCGGACTGATGTCATTCTAAGACCATCTAGGAGGCGTGGTTGAGTTGCGAAGCGAGTTTATATTCGATTCGTATTCTAGAGTATTTTACTGATCAACTTCCTAAACTAAATCGTTCGTTTGACCCGTGCTAACTACGATGTTTCTACTTAACCTAGTATATCGGGAGGAAACTTGAATGATGTGATAAAGCGTCTACAGACGTATCTGCGGCGGTTTACTAATCTGCCGAGTTTCTATGTTATCTACCTAAGCTTGTGAGACTCTTGATAGGTATATGTAACCGGTAAATAAAAGTCGTTTGCCATTGGGAATGACTGCGGGTGAGAAACATTATACTTGTAGTCAAAATCTAGCCCCTTAATCGAATATGCAAAGGAGACTACCCCCACCGAGGCGGTCTTAAGACTCACGTCTAACGACCTGGGGTATAGAGATCCGAGGGTAACACAATACACATCATACACCACGCTCGTCACTATTCATCTCATAGTGAAGCTGACTGTGATTGTAGTGATTGTAACACTAATATCGGGCTAAGGTGTTCCCCGTGCTGTTAATATACGAATCTACGTTGATAATGGGTTTGTAGTAGTCAATAAAACACAATTATCCTCTTCGATGAAAAAACACGCCAAAGTTGTTTCTGAATAATGCTAGGTAGGTTAGATTATATAGAGGCTAAATATAGAATCGCTAAGGCTGAAAATAGACAGGGGTGTTTTATATGCTCGGCCTTCTGTCGAGCTGCTGACGCCAACCTTAGCCCGATCCAAAGAAATACAGCTTAGCTCTTTCTTATATGGTAATTTCTACTTCGTAATAATACTATGAAACTGCTCTAGCTGAAGCTGTCAGATCTCATTTAAATTATCTACACAGTATGCTAAAGCGCCACTCGAAGAATATCGCCCTTCGATGGCGAATCATCTAGCTCCCCCTTATAAGCTAATTTATACAGTTACCTATGCTAGGTTTTATGATATGTAATGCCCATAGGAAGAATCTCTCTTAATATGGCAGGTTAAGATTTGGCTGACGACTTTCATGTCCCGACTCCCTTGGTCATTTAGCAAGCTCAGGGGCTGTATTTACACAATGATTGACCAGAATCCTATGGGTAGGACCTCAATTGACTTTACATTGCCTAATAATCTAATATGGAAGGTCGCACTCGAATAGGTAACGTCGGGGCTTCATGTTGGGTATATATATGAATGTTGAACTACCCAGGCCAGTATACAATGTCTCAACTCCTATCACGGAAATCAAGCTTGCTCTTCATCACACTATAAAGCAGATTTAGCACACCCCTTTCGCTATGTATATCTCTAAGATCGCGGCGCTTGCGCTTCTTGCGCCTTGCACGCTTGTCTCCGCCACTCCTGTCTTCAAGAACCACGGAACACTGGATGGATGGGATGGAACCAACCACGAACATAAAGGAACCGTAACTCAGGTCGACAACGTGTCTTACAACTCAGGCTCGTCGATCAAAGTGGTTCAGATATACGATTCTGGCTACACTGGCAGATACCACTCGGAAGTCTACAAGAAAGACGTCTACAGGGTCGGCGACGAGGGGTTCTACGGCTTCGCTTTCCGGCTGCACTCAACCTGGGACACCTCGTCCAAGCAATCCTACAACATCGCGCAGTTCATCAGCAACCTAGAGGACAACCCCGACAACACGTGCGGGGACGGCTTCATCCCCTCGATGATGATGTGGGTCGAGGGCAGCGAACTCAAGATCCGCAGCAAGGGCGGCAACATGTGCGATAGCACCCTGAAGAAGTTCTCGGTCGGCACGATCAAGCCGGGGTCTTGGCACCGCGTCGTCCTCCAGGCCAAGTGGGAAAGCGACAACTCGGGCTACTACAAGGTCTGGCTCGACGGGAAGCAGGCGCTGGAGAAATCGGGCCTCATCACTACGTACAGGGACACGCAGAAGAAGTACGGCTTCCAATTCCGGACCGGCTTGTATGCTAATAGCTGGCACGACGACAAGCGCATGGATGGAAGCCAGGGAACCCGACAGCTGTGGATTGATGAGGTTGCCATCGGAAACAAGTATGAGGACGTGGACCCCGGGGTTCAGCAGTAATTTTGTGGCAATAATGTGTTGTTTCGGCTGGCCTTTTTATAGATGTTTGATGATTTGTGAGTCTTGGTAGTTATTTAGTTAGAACGTTATATAGATAATATATATTTTCTTGATGTCTTGAGCTGTTCAATGATTCAAGGAGATGAGAGATAAGATATACTTAACCTAGCTGAGTGCACATATATCCGGGGTATAATTGAGACCAGCCAATAGAAGTTGTCATTTGGAGGAAACTAGGGAATATCTTAATAACTACAAAGTACATAGAATAAAGAATAGGGTAGGTAGTTGTGACTATGTACCTAGTATGGTTTATGAATTAGGTACATGTAGTTTAGGTACACTTAAGTCAAAGTTAAAAAATAAAATAAAATAAGATTATCACTACCTAAACACTTGACGTATATGACATGTTTATGAAAGGGGTAGACACCTCCTATGTTTCTCCTATTGTATCATCGCTGGAGAAGGTGTCGCAGTAGCAAAGTCTAATATAAGTTTCAATATTAGGTAAGTAATAGAGACTATCAGGGGGTACATAGCTATTGTACCTGCTACATATCGCACCTGCTATTGTATTCTCCGCCGCCTCCACCTTTCGTCCCATCCTTGTTTCTTGGCACAGGCGGCCGCAATCCGACACGGCGTCCTAACTAAACCATTAAACCACTAACCCACTAAACCACTGAACCACTGAACCACTAAATCACTAAACCACATGTAGTGTACGAATAGATACAACAAACATTACATTACTTTTAAGCACTTCACTTTATGAGACGGCCGAGATATGACAACGACGCCCTCTTCCTCTATTCTCTTATTCGCTCGTAGTCTTCCTTTTGTGCAATTCCTCATTTTTTTGTCCAAAACACACGGCTCGCGTCGGCCCAGTCCTTGAGTTCGCCTAGTCTTTACGATCTAATATCTCTAGCTTGTCACGATACTACACGAAACCTATCATTCGCCTGACTAAACATTCGCTTCTCTCCATGAGTGGCGCTGCGGCCTGGTCCCAGACGGTGGGCATTTGGTCGGGTCTGCCACCATGCTGAGCACCTCCGCGACGTCGGCTCAGAAGTCGTTGGGTACGCAAGCAGCCAATTCTCCCCTCACCACCTCGCGACCGAGCCTCGATGGCGGACTTCGACCACCTGCCGCCGGCGATGGTGCCCGAAGCATGACATCCACGATCACCTCCCTCGCACCGAGCCGTGGTGCTTCCTTCAACCCTTCCCAACCTCCAGGGAGTTTTAGTTCCGACCTACGCAGTCAAGCTATCCAGTCGAGGGCTGGCTCGAGGGCCGACGTCTATATCCGCGAAAAGCTGGACGAGGATGACGATTCCATGGCCGAGACTACACTTAATTCGTTGAAGGACTCGCTTAGCCGCGAGATGAAAATAAAAGAGGGAAGCGAAAATATGCTTGAAGCTTTAAATGCAAAGAAAGCGAAACAGACCAAAGAGCAACGCCAGAGGGTGGAGGCCGAGCTTACAGCCTCGAATACGAGAATAAAAGAGCTGAAACAAAGGATCACAGATGCGCAGCGATCTAAGGTCGTGCCTAGCACGCCTACGAGAACACGCAACGAGGGGTTGTTGCGTAACGAAGGTCTGCGATCGCCCCCAAGCGCATCTAGGAGCGGTGCCGGATCCGACTTCGAAGAGCCGACGGAATCCCCGACATTTGCACTTGCCGAGATACTGCAAGCTCTAGAGGTCGAAGGGATGACCCCTGAATACTATGTGGGGGGAGCCAACAACCTGGTAGATCTCTTCAAAAGGCATCCCACGCTGAAGTATGACTTGGTGTGGTCTGTTTTTGGAGATAGGATGCAGGTCATGCTGCTTAGCGGCAGTAGGGAAGTGGTGGCATCGGGATACCGAATGCTACGATATGCCATTTCCGATATAGCCTCTCTTAAGAAAATACGTAGCTTAAATACCGACTTCATGGTAGTCGTGTCTCTCGCCAAGGATCGCAAGGCCGACGTGGAACGCGAGCAGGCTCTCAAGTTCGTCCGCGCTTTCTTGGATGTGAAAGATGGCGTTCGCGAGGTGTCCAGGGCCGTGGTTAGGACTATAGCAGCAGTCGCCGAGCAAGTCGAAGATCGGCTCCGGCCAATCTGTATCGAAACGCTCGCCGAAGTATTGTTACGAGATCCCGCGCTGCTTGTGGCGTCTGGCGGCTTGGTACCGTTGTCGGAGGCCCTCGCTGAGGGTACTTACAAGTCCCCCGAATCCTTATCCTCGGCTTTTCTCTACCTACTAGATGCGCCACATACACGGAGGTATTTACGGGCCGGATATGAATTAGAGGTTCTATTTACGGCCTTCACCGATGCTCTGTTCTCGTACGAAGGGGTTATAAAACAAAATTCAAGGGCAATTGCTTCTGCCTTGAAGAGTTGGTCGGGGCTCATGACCTTGTCCATGTACAACTTCAGAGCGATTGGCTCCTTGATATCGAGCCTGATGCTGCCTAACCCGACGATTCGGGACACCGTGATGGATTTGCTTTATTCTCTCCTTCGTATTAAACCCCCCGCGTGGGCCACATCGTATCTTGCAGGGCGACGTTTGACAACGTATGGAAGAGTAACGACATTGAAGTCTTCAACGTCGAGCAAGGACGATGCAGTTTACGAAGATGGCGGTGCGGAGCAAAACTTCGTAGAGCACTATACGGCATTGCTTCTAGCTATATTTATCAAAGCGGGAATGATGCCGAACCTGCTCCAGGTTGCTCAAGGCACCGACGATCCCATGTTGAAGCGGAAAACAACTTTGCTCATCGGCGAGACCCTCAAACTCGCGAGCAGAATCCTCCCCCCTTCTTGGAGTAGCGAACTTCAGTTACTCCCCGAACTATTCGCAGCTGCTTCGCACTTCCAAGACGAGGCGCATTTCAATGCGACCGGAATCGTCTACCAAATAAGTAGTGTAAGCCGGACGCTTTACCGGTCATCTCCGACGGGTTACGCTCCTGGCTATCTTCCCTCCAGCAGCATGTTAGAGAATATGGGTCACGCAGAAGAAGCACCAAAGGCCAATTTTTTAACTAACCCTGACGATGCCACATTCCGTCAGCTGCTGATAGATTCGGGAGTTCTCGGCCATTCTAACCCTTCCAAATGGGACTGGGATGTCGTTTTGAAGATAATCGAAGGACCACTGATGAATGGTAAACGTTTAGAAGAAGCCATCAAGGCATCAAAATTTGCAAAAAGGCTAGTAGGCTTTTATCGGCCTTTCAAATTCAAGTTTTCGGAGATCAAGAGCACGCGAAATACTCAAAAGTATGTTAGGGTTGGCTGCGCACTAATGCATACGCTGCTCCAGACGGCGGAGGGAACAAAGTATCTTGCGGATAATAAGCTGTTGAGACAAATCGCTGAGTGCTTAGCTCAGTGTGATCCGGTAAGAATATATATGTCAAAGGATTTAGATAAAATACTTATTCTTGCTTCTAGACCAGCGGTTTGACTGCGCAGTATCCAATGTTTTCGAGAGATCGTCTCACAGATACGCTGTGCGGTGGTTATTTCCCTATGATCGGTGCTCTGAGCAGCGATCCCAAGGGGTTGCAGATGCTCGAGAGATGGCGCATCTTCAACATGATGTATCATATCGTCGATTTTAAGCAAAGACCAGATCTCATCAAGTTGCTTCTCAGTCATCTTGACTATAGTATTCATGGCCACCCGCGCGTGCTGCTATCGAAGGCCTTGACAGCTGGCACAAAAGAAATGCGAATACATAGCACTAACGTACTTCGTAAATATGCAACAAGGCAGCGAGTTACGCCAACAGGCCAAGTTATCTCCGACTCCAAGTGGGCGATTCAATTACTTGTCACACAACTCTACGATCCAGAAGTCGAGGTGTGTGCCACGGCCGTCAAGATTCTTGAGAAGGCTTGCAATAGTAAAGCCTTGCTAGAGTATATAGTGGAATGCCGGCCTGCATTGGACCACCTTGGCGAGATTGGAGCACCTTTGCTACTCCGATTTTTGTCCACCTCCATCGGTTATCACTATTTGGATGGTTTAGACTACATAAGCAACGAAATGGACGACTGGTTCCTCGGGCGCAACGATACCTATGTTAGTCTCATCGAAGCTAGTCTAGCACGTTCTTTCATCGATACTCAAGAGGATCAACCGCACCGCCTTAGTATTTATGAAGACGATTTGGATACAGACCAGGACAACCACGTACCGCCTCATTTCTACCGAGAATTGACACGCACAAAAGAAGGCTGTAAATTACTCGAAGACAAGGGTCACTTCGAAGAGTTCGCCGCGACTATTTGTGAATACGGAATGCAATCTGACGATCCTGAACTTATCACAAAAGTTAAAGGCTGCTTATGGGCAGTTGGAAACGTTGGCTCGATGGAGCTCGGGGCTCCGTTCTTGGAATCGACGGATGTAGTAGAACATATCGTCAAGATCGCTGAATCTCATGACGTGATGAGTCTTCGAGGTACCGCATTTTTCGTCTTAGGCTTAATATCGAGATCTACGCACGGACTAGAGATCCTCTCCGAACATGGTTGGGAATCAAATACTACACCTCTCGGGATGTCATTAGGGCTTTGCGTTCCTAAGAATCTTTCCAAATTCTTCTCTTGCAAGCCCTGGAAACACGAGATACCCGCGCACATCGGAGTCTTAGATACCCAGAAAACAGTGCTGGAACCGCCGCCTGTGGAAATCGACGAACAGGACCCGACTAACCGACGCATATTGGAGCTCATGACTGAGCTGGGCAATATGGTGCTCTATAGGAAGGCTAAAGTCGAGCTGCTCCAGTTACGACATAAAAAAGCTCCAGGATTCCGGCAGCCTACCCTATTCCGTAAGGTTCTAGCATTGATGGAATGTCACCACTATAGGCTGCCAGACCGGCATCTGGTAATCGAGTTATTCGACAAGAGCGTCCTAAGACACATCGTCTACGGCGAGGAAAGCAGCGACGAATCAGCGAGCAGCTCAGGTGACGAGCAGAGGACAGAACGGCAAAGGAGCATAAGCGATCCCGCCGAGATGGAGAGGATAATAGCTAGGGCCCAGAACTCGTCGATATAGCATAGCATTGCATACCAGCTAAGACGAGGCGGGAAGGCATCCGAGAGCAGCAAATTCGGGATTTTGGACACGGCGAGATATAGTCTGCTTGTTTTTTTGTTTTTGGGAACTCGACTCGACTTGACTTGGGACGATTCAACACCTACTGCCTTAGGTACCTATGCCTATACCTATACCTATACCTATACCTATACCTATACCTATATCTACCTACTTTGTAAAAAATATAGACACGACATGACATGACATGCGAGGGACAGCAAAATGGCTCGTTGCAAACTGCGCACCATAACACCACCATTTTGGGGAGGGGGGCGGGGGGTGGAGAAGGTGATTTTATCTTGCATATGAGCGGTGATACTCTGGGGGTGGGCGGAACGGCATGATGGATGCCTGAATTGAACATTATTCCGTTTTAATTATGTTCTGCTGATGTTTGTGTCGTGTTGTGTTTTCTTGCTAGGCTGATGGCGTGTGAAATCTAATATGTACTATACTACCACCCTACCGCCAATCTATCTGCCTCTGACACCCTTTTTCTTATTTTCTTTCTCGTGGCGCTCGTTTTGACTTGGGTTTTTGGATTAGGGTAGGGGGAGTTCATTGACTTTACACGCGACGTCACCATTACTTGCACCGCCGCCGTCCTGCCCGGTATCCGCTTGGAGCGAGGGGCGGGGAGCTTTGTTTACCGCGGCGTTCCTCGGAGAGAAAAGGGGGGGAGGGGGGGGAGATATACCAAAATAGCGAGTGTGTGTGTGTACCTACCTAGGTACCTGTGTATCTAATGTACATACCTACCTACGTATGTATGTATATAATCTTCGATGCGAGGGTTTTCCATGAGTTAGAGAAATCTTGTTAAGCGTTAGGGTTCGTTGCGTGAGGCGAACTGTGAGTGTGGTTCTAAAATGCGTTGTATACCTAACGTTGAGATATACCGAATACCTACTCGTGTGCGTGTGCGTGCTATATTAATCATGTCCCGAAATGAGATGAGATTAGCATTCATACCTAACAAACTCACTATTCATCTCCTTTGCGAAGATGAGAAACAAGCCCCTTTATTACCTACGATATCGAGTTTTAATCACACGGATATTTTCCTGGTATAACGTCGTTTCAAAATGCTAGTTTCTTTGTATCGAATTTTTCCCCCCAAATACTATATTACACTGCAAAGCAGCCTGCTCCCCTTGAAGCAATCCCATACAACTCTCTTCTCTTTCTTGCCCAGTGAGGATAGTACAGGGCCAACCAATCAGCTCCCCTGCGTCTCCTCAGCCCTTCAGTCCTTCGTCTGAGTCTTAGTATGCGATGAGGAATGGCTGGTCGAGTGAGATGTTGAGTGAGATGTTGAGTGGGAAGTAGAATGAGAGGTAGATGTCTTAGTCGATGAGCGGGATGTCGAGGAGGACTTGCTAGTCGACTTCTTGGTTGTCTTGCTGCTGCTGCTGCTACTACTACTACTACTGCTCGATTTCGTTTTGGTTGAAGTTGTTGATACCGGGGGTGGTGTCACCGATGTTGGAGGCGAAGTGGTGGAAGAAGCACTAGTGCTGGTAGGAGGTAGTGAAGTCACTGGAGGTGATGGAGACGGGTCGCTTGCCTGGCATCCCGATCCGAAAGCTGGTTGGCAACCCGAGCCGCAGTAGTCAATAGTTGAGCCGCACCAGCCGTGTCTACAGTTTAAGAGTTAGTAACATAGTTTAAACAATGATTGACTTTTCCATATTCATTTCTCATAACATAAATTTTGTAGACGCTCCGTGTCCCATCATAGGACAATACCCAGCCTAGACCCTCATAGAGGAAAAAAAAAAATAAAGTTGAAATGAGAACTACACTGACTCTGAACAACAGTTTCCAAAACCCGATCCTTCGCAAGTGAATCCGTCGCCGCAGTTTCCCTCAATCGATACTTGAAGCGTTCCGGTGGGGGCGGGTGCCGATGCCGATGTCGTGGTGGTCAGGGGGTCATCAGGGGTTCCCGGTCCGTTAGGGAGCGGAATGCTGGTCGGGATTTGCGAGTCCGCCGAGGAGCAGGTTCCGAATTCCGGGCTACAGTTTGAGCCGCAATAGTCGATGGAGCCACCGCAAAATTTATTGGTAGAACAGCCTAGTGACATGGATTAAATTCATACTCAGGGCGATTGTCAGGGTATACATACAGTTTCCGTATTGAGAGCCCGCGCAAGTTACCCCGTCGCCGCATCGACCATCTTCGCTAACCTTTAACGTGCTGGTCGGCTGGCTTGGGCGAGTGGACGTGGAGGTGGACGTGGGCTTCAGGCAAGTCCAAGTGCCAGTCGGGGCACGAATGGTGAAGTTATACTCGGGAACCTTACCGGTGCCAGCACGGTACCAGTTCTCAGGGGGGTCGCCTAAGCATTGACCCACAGTGACAGACCTATAGCCGTGGCTGAAGAGCGATTCGAGGATATAGTCTGTGAGGTTGTAAACAGTTTGGTAGTGGATGTCGTGCTCGATCTCGAGATAGCTATCCTCGCACGGGCTGGATCCATCAACTGCATCATCCCAGATGTCTTTACTAGTCTGGATCTGGCTTGCATCGTCATGAAGGTAACCTTCCGTGTCCAAATCAAAGTATATAGCGTGATATCCAAGGTTAGCTAACTGGGTCTGACAGGAGGCGGCGCAGATGGAGTAGGGCGGCCTGCCTCAAGATCAGCATGAGTCTCCTCTTTTCTTAAGGGGAGCTAACACGAACCTCATGTAGGTAGGAAAGTAGCCAAGAATATCATTAAAAGCAATCTCATTCCATATAATTTGATTCCTGAACTGGGTCGTAGTCAACTGGCTGAAGTTTTCATGCGACCAAGTATGGCTTGCGATCTGATGACCCTCGGCGGCCATTCGCTATGACTGGTTAGTATTTACTTCCATAACCTCTAGATGAAGCGATTTACTTGAATGACGGAAGCCCAGGGCAAGTCTGGGTCGTTGATTTTTCCCTTGCCAATATTGTTGCCGGTAATGAAAAACGTAGCCTTCGCCTCATATTTCTTCGTCCTTATTAGCACCACCTCTGAGATAATGCAGGGTGATTGTGACACATACTGCAAACTTATCGAGAAGATCGTTGGTATAGTCGTATGGGCCATCGTCAAAGGTTACGGCGATATCACCTTTGTTTACACAGTCGTAAATGCCCACGCCGCCGTATCGTACCTTGCCTAGTTTTGGGCGCGCAATAGTCGACGTGTCATCACCGTCAGGCTTTTGATTACCGTCACATGCAGGTCCGTAGTTGATTTGGCAGTCGGGTGAAGTGCAATAATCTTCTCCTACGCCGCAATAACTTGATTCGGTCAGCACATTATGGGCAAATGACAGAAATGAACTAACCCATCGGCCGAGCAACATTGGCTAGCCGCGCAACTACCACGGCCCGCGCCGCATCGTGCGCTTTTCTGTCGTGGTTCAAGTTCGCCTCGCTCCTCGAGTTCCTCTTCATCCCGAGCCTCGAGCATTTCTGCTCTCCGCATGGCGCGTGCCTGGCTATCCCATCTCCTCCCCTCCTTAAACTCCGACAAAAATCTTCTAGCCCCGACAAGCTTTGGTAGGCTACGGCTGGGATTGTTTGGATCCGCATGCGCAGCCGTCTGGCCGGCGCAAGCGGCTAGGATCATGGCGTTCCACCAGCGCATCGTGATAAATGCAGTGTAGTCCCTATATATGAAGCGAATGTCAAGGTTGGGCACAACGAATCCTCGAGCCACGAGAGTTTCCAAAGCTCAGAGAAGGAATACAAAGAGACTGGGCATCCAATTATCTTAATAGATCTCCGGTCAAGGCATCGGACGGCACAGGGGTTGCATTCTTAGTATATAGATATAGAGCCACGCGTACCGGAATGCCACGAGAGGCGACGATCCAGAAAAAAAGCAGTCAGAAAAACACACGGCTCCCGGAGCGGAGCTTGGTCAACCCTGTGAGGAGCATTTCATATATACCCGGATGCTACCTTAATGCAGACCACCTGCATTAACGAGCCACTCATAAAAGAGGTATTGCAGGATTGCCCATATTGAGTTGCCTTGCAGCCGTCATGGCGTCTCTGAAAAGGCTGGACTGGCCAGATATTACTCTCGTTGCGAGAGCACGAACACGAGGTTGATGAAAATGTATCCCTACCATGCGTCGCTGACGCTGCAATTTCAATCGAGCGTTTATGAAGGCATACTGCATGAGCATCCATGCCGAACGAACGTCCCAAAATAAGTTGTTCCCCATTTCCGTATACTAAATCCGTAGTATCTGGAAAAATTCATTGCTGGCGTAGATAACAGTTCTACGCAATAAAGGTAGATTCGTTGGTTCATGTCGAGGAGGCTCACGTAAAGCCTCACCTCTCCCGGTGTAAAGGTACCGGGCAGGGGGGGGCTGCTCAGTTGAAGACACAACCTCCATGATCGGCTCTTTTGCTAATAGAAATAGGTGAAGAATGACTCGTCATATTTCCCCAGATGGCCGGCAAAGCGAGAGGGTGTCCGTCTGAGTACTTTCTGTGGGGTTAGTAGACGCGTCCCTGGATAGAAAGCGACGTTGGGATCGAGTTCCTTCGGCCCGCCAAGAATTCGCCTCATTAATCCAGCCCTTCACCCACCAGGCGGTTGAAAGTGGCGGGGGTGGATTAGAGATTGGCTATATTATATTAATTTGACAATATCCTAAAAGCAACCTACCATCTACCTTGCATTGCATGACCTTTGTTCTAAAACTACCCTCCAACTCCCCAGTGCCACTAGCCGCAAAAGATTTCTACCGAAATCTTACATTAAAAGGGAGAAATAGGGAAATAAATAAATTAATTGGAATGGATTGTTACCTTTTCGTAGCCTTCGAGACTGTCTACCAAACCCACGCGCTGATGCGCTCTACCCCATAGCCGGAATCGTGCGATTCGGATGCCAGTCCAGCAGGTAGATCATTCAAAAAGATGACGAGTCTCGGCAGGTTCGCTCCGTAGCAGTCGGAAATATAATAAAATGTCCTCATAGTGTCCTATGTTGATTTTGTAACGTGAAAGAGAAACGTGCCATCGTTATTGTTAGGATATGTGGAAATGCAGGTGTTGTAAGTGAATTTCCTTTATGTAATGAAGAAAGCGTCTTTTTATGGTTGTTATTTTTAGACATTGTAAGGTAAGAAGGTATGGACTACCTAGTCACGTGGCTTCCCTTGAGTATTACGTTATTCAACTAATTCTAATGCTTCTTTCAACGCATCTTCTTACCAAGTACATATGTACCTAAAGCATCGAGGGCTTCCCCTTTTTCTCGGTCAATAGTTCTGATCACTCAAATATTTCTATCTCTAGCCCTGAGTAAACTGTTTTTCTAAATCTTATCAGAGAGCTGGTTGCTAGCACCTCTGATCTCTTTAGAAAATTATAGGGGTATCTACCAAAGTAAATGTAAAGTGTATTTTTTATATTGACCTAGCAAAGCGATTCATATGATTTAGTGATATACATGCTTTGATAGTATTCTCCTTACCTAGGTTCTGAGCCATCCGGTTGGCTCTCGGGGTATTCTATCCTCAGACTTAAGACAACATGCCCAACACATTTAATCCCCATAGATGACTACTGGTACTAGTCGTTCTTTCCAACGGTAAACAGCACTGCAAGTATGGTCGTGATGTTGGAATTCAACTCGTTGCTAGGTAACTGTCGCTTTGTGGCTGTCGACACCTGAAATAGATACCTGACGCAGTTACAATCAGGAATTGCCTCAGCAACTGGAAGATTTGCCAAAAAGAAACCTATTACTTTCCTAGGTTGCTCCTGCCTTTGGTTTCGCTTTTTACGCGTATATAATTTCGTGTCGTTCAACCGTGATCCCTCTATCCTTTGCATCATCAACAACAAACCTGCTCCGTTGATTCGACCACAATGGCTGAATCCGCGGACGAGGATGTTGCCGGACTCGCCGGTCAATCATCCAACAAGGTCGTCAAGAAATCTCGAATCAAGCCTCGTTCTAAGCCGATGACCCGTCAATCCACTGGAACTACTAAGAAGGTTGCCAGAAAACTGTTCGAAACAGCCTTGCCTTCAGATGACAACACCGAACATCAGTCTGGTCAACTGGTTGGCATAGACAGAGTCCTTTCACGACTAGAAGATCTTATAAAGGCGGTAACCGAATCAATCTCTGTTTCACAGGCTACTCGATCTATCCCCGGAACCTCATCAGTATCGCAGCTCAGACGAGAAGATATCGGTCGATTCAATCCTGATTATCCCGACCCGAACGGGGTTGGCATGATTATTGACGGCAATACCCCAATCTTTACCGACATAAAACGCTTCGTCGAGCGTATCGAATCCTTCCTTGAAGACCGTGATACCGCCGCAGCCAACGAGAAACAGATGGTACTTTTGTTTGAGGTCTTATTGGACGGCCAGGCAGCTCTATGGTGGAGTAACGAATTGGTTTATAAAGATCGACGATCTCTTCGACAAGCCGGTTTAACTAAGATGCTGGCGGCCTTAAAAAGTCGATTCTCCTATGACCTGGTGATTACATTGGACGAATACACGGACCGTCGTCTAAGCCTCGAACAGATCGTCGAGGATGAGAACAGATTGATACAGTTCTTCCAGACGAGGCTGCGATACGCAAAATCACTCGGCTTTCTAGACCAGGATAACAAAGGCTGGTATGAAGTCTTGAAAGGGGTCTGGTCCGCTATGGATTATGACCTCCGGGATGTCGTACCGGCCCCCTCTGATCTATATTCGCTTGAAGAATATATGAAAGAAGTAAACGAGGCAAAGCTGCGGTTTCTTGATGTAGCGAGAATGAATGGCCTGGTTAGTTCAGCCGAATGGTTTGCCAGGCGCGGGAACCGAGAAGGTTCAAGCGATTGGTCGGAGAACTACGGCGGCGACCATTGAGCAAACGGCGTTCATATTAACCGGATCGGCTCTCAATCGCAGAAGCGGCCGGCCTTGATACCACCATCGAGGCTAGCATCCTCGCCCGTTCGTCTCAAGGTATAAGGCACTCGCAATGCAGCCGAGAGCCAAGTACTCCTGTACCAAAGTTCGAGAAAGAGCCTACTATAGTTGGGAGCCTGGGCATATCACACGGCATCAGAGGTTATCTATAGTGAATAGGCCTTGACAAATACATACTTCTCCCTACCATTCCGTATCTGCTCAGTCTTCAAGTAATTAGTAAAATGTTAAGATACCCCTTAATTTATGCGGAGTGAAATGCACGTAAAATGTAGACAAAAAACCTGCTTTGTACGTCCGCCTGAAATAGGGGCACGTCGTGTCCACACATAACCAACTATAAACTGCCAAAAACCTCTCCCCATGACTACCACCAGAGGAGTATTATTCATACAAATCCCAAACATTAAAAAGTATCACCCGCCATTCCCATCTCGAAGTAACCTAGGTACGTAACCCGCGTCAGTCAACCCGCAATCCGCAACCCGCAACCCGCAACCCACCAAACAACGGCCCGCAGCCATAGCAACAGACACCTGTCAACCTCGCAACCTAAGGCAGATAGATAGACAGATAAACCCCAACAGCAGAAGAAACATTAACAATCAAAAAGGGCTGGTGGTGTAACGGTGCACACTCCATCCCATTCCGCGCCCCGGACGGCCAACCCCATGGCCTCCCCGGTGGTCAAAGTCAAGTCTCATGGAGAAGTATGGGTTCGAATCCCATCCGGTCCAACATTTTTTTTCTTTCTCTTGCACCACATTTTTCTCTTTCATCTATTTATATTTTTATCCCCCCTTTTGTCTGTATTAATTCCTACTGATCCAGCCCAGATCAAGATATATATGCACGTACAGACATACCCCCCTAAGTTGAGAATTAAACCTAGTAAGAAGTATCTGGCGGCCTAATCAAGTAACTTCGGTAAATTTAAGATAAGAAAGTGATGCAGTATACCTAGGTACCTAACGTACCTATATAACCACTTAGATGGCGAATCTTATATATATCTGCACTCGGACTTTAACTACTTGAGACTGGAAGGTGAGTGCGTGGCTGTCTCAACTAGATATCAGTGGTACGCTTAACCATACGACAAACCCCCTCAGATATTTAGGTATGTTCGTAAAGTGGTCATTAGTCTGTACCGAAACCCGCCAGAACGTTATCTAGGGTGGTTATCCTGTACGTTCTACTCAGGAGCTAGTTGGATATAAAACCACGAGGGTGTGGTATTCAGGGGCTAACTAATATTCAACATAATATAATATATCAATGGATATACGGTACCAATATCCACCCATCATCTATCCCTTAAATGAGAGCTATATAAAACAGCACGCCGAGACACCGCGAGGTAAGATCAAAACGAAATATCCTACTTTCGTCTAGAACAGAAAGCCACCATAAGACCTTCCGGCAGGGGATATAAGACGCATACCTGAGCATATTTCCCAACAATACACCACCCGCAACTTAGTCAGTTGCCTCACTCCTTAACCCCGTTTATTTCCACCTACCCAGCCGCTTAGTAAATCACAACCATTATCTCATCAACCATATTGTGCTAGTCCCATTCATATCCGTCCCGAATATCCCTGATAATAAATGCCGTGAATATCTTGTTGTTCCTGTTTAGAGAGTGAAATGTAGCGATAATAACGGTAATAGGGACATCCCTATCATGGAGCATCCGGGCGAGCGCTTCGCATTATCTTGTTTAGAAAACCGCGCCCGCCGCCTAGTGTGGATCGTCCCCGAGGCTTCTCGGGAGCGGGTTCGTCCGGTGTCGATTTAGGAGGGGCGGATCCTGATCCTTTTTTTGGTGGAATTGCGTTATGGGTCGGGTGCTCATCTTCGGACTCAAGCAAGTCATACTCCGACATAGAGAGCTTATCCGCGGCTCGTTTATAGTCAGATGAATCTGGACCGGATTTGCTCATACCGACGACGCCCTTTCCGGCTTCTTGCATCTTAGCGATTCCACGTTCCAAATGAGCTACCATAGGACCTTTAATAGCCCAATTTTCGTCTGGTTCACGGTCCGCCGCCTCCCTGTATAATTCCGGCTCCCTTTTCTCAAATTCATCTTCAATCTCCCTCTGGTGCTTCGTCGTAGCCTCGACGCGCTCGCTCTTGACCGCCGGCACGAGGTCAGTTGTTTGTACCCTATCTTCACCTTCGAGGAGTTTGAGCCACTCATCGTATCGCTGATGGCTATCCTTCTATAACGGTATTGTAAGTGCAATGTTTAATTTGGGGGGGGGGTTGCATTCGAACTTACCTTCTTTTCACATGAAGATTCCTGTAGGCTAGCAAGATACTCCTCCGCGTTGCTCTTCATATTATTACCCACAATATATTTGTCGAATGATTGTGAGAATTCGCGGAAGTGACCCTTAAGCACGAAACATTGCCCGGTCCAACCTTTGCTCTTAAGCTTCTGTAAAAGCGCGTCCGCTACAGGCGTCTCCCAGGGATACTCAACTACCTTGTCATAAAATACGACACATTTACTTGCGTACCAATTATTAAATGAATCGCGGCTAGTCTCATCCGGAAGTGCCCTTTCGATCATTTCCATGGTGGCTCGTGCCACAAAGGAAGCTGGTGCCCTGAAGTTGATTGCGCCATGGATGTGAGACTGGGCGTACTCGGATGGTGAGCGGAGATCAATTATCACAATTTGGTCCTCTGGGAATATTTCTAGTAATTTGTTGAGGTGCCCAGGAAGAATCATCTGAGCTCCATGGTTGGGGGGCTCCCGGCTTTGGTCATCTATCTTCAAGCTCTGCAATCGATTCTCGACTTCTTGTTGGTCTCGACGGTTTTCGAACCAAGCCTGTCCTGTGTAAGCCTACATTCTATATGATGCTGATTAGATATTACTTACGTCAATATCCGCTGTCTCTACGCCAAGGGTTGACGCGAGGAATTCTCTGACGGCAATAGTCGGCGATGGGTTGCCCTCGAAGTATTCTTCTAGCCGTGTCTGAGCGTGCTGTGGAAGTTCAGGCTGACTAGCTACAGATGCTAGGGATGTTATCCGCATGTTCCGAGGCTTATTTATGGCCAGGTGCTGCGCTATATTACTATAAGACATGCTCTTATGTAACGAACCACCAGGCATAGAGCGCTGTCTTGATTGCCATCCCCCGCTGGACGTATGGTGGCCCTTAGATATTGCGTTCGTCGTGGGACGGTAGCTTCGGCAAGTAGCATCGACCATCGGGCCATCAGCTCTTCTATACATCGGATCCATTGACGTTCTCTCGCTTGAAAGGGCCGACATTATCGATAACCTACCAGACTCCAACGGTCTGGAGGTATATGCTGTAGTTCCTGAATAAATCGACCTCAAATCTGCATCATTATCGGCACTCGTTGGTACTTCTTCCTCCAGTGACCTCGGCTCGCCATGGTTACGAACAGCTAAGTTATTGGATCGAATGAAGGCCACGAAGTTGCAGGCGTGATTATCGGGAAGTAGATCCCAAATCATGACCGGCATCGACAATAGGAGTAACGTCGAATGGCTCTTGAATACCCCTTGGACCTTAACATACTTGGCTAGTGCTGGAATATTTGAAAGCCAGTGTTCCCAGTCATTGATATTAAGACGTTGATCCTCTTCGAGGGCTAGAGAAATCATTACATGCGGTACGTCTTCGTTTGGCTCCGATCCGACGATATCTTGCGGGCCGGCCGATCGACCATTGGGAGAAGTCGGTTCGAACCCCGGCTCCTGAGGAGGCGAAGGTGGTCTTGCATCTGGCGACAGGATCCGGGTTACCTCGATACTTGGTGCTTTATGATTGGCGGTCATCATAAAATGAACAGGTGTAGCACGTGCCTCGAAGTGCTTTCCATTCAACATTTCGGGTCTTGGATGCTTGAGGCGTGCGAGAACCTCGGCGTGGAGCATCGCGGCGGAAAACGTCCTTCGTTTCCAGTCTTGAAGCACTTCTATCAGAGTGTTGGTGAACGAGTATCTCCCAGGATCGGGAGCAATAGCGTCCCAACTAGATGCCGATATCGTTTCCGTAATACTATTGCCATTGGGAAAAGTAGCACTTGCAGCCCCTGCACAACAATCTAATAGGATGAGCACATCCGATAGAGATCGTTCCAACAACGTCTGAATAGCGGACCATCTACACAGGGTTAGAGTTACCACACACATGTGATCTTATATAGAGCTTATCATAATATAGGCTTACTGTAGCCACGGAGAGTCCGAATTTCGAGTTCTGGTTTAACAATTAGCATATCAGGTAGGGAATACAAGAGCAGCAGCCTGGAAAACGCACCCGCACCATGTACTTTGTCTCGAGTCATCGATCCTGGCGTGGCCACCATAATAGATGATGAACAGGGTATCATTTGATTCGTGTTCTTTTATCATGGCGCCAACTTTCAACATCAGCTCGAGGTGGGCGTTGTCGGACGGTATCGGAAAGGTTTCGGTTTGGAAATTGTATTCCTCCCGAAGACATGCCTCCAGGTCATCGAGCTCCTTCAGGACGAACAAGTCGTCGCAGGTCCAGTGAAGAAGAAGCACATGCACTTTCTTATACCTTTGTGAGCCTCCCCGGTTGGGGAAAGCCCGCGTAGCCGACTATCGAAGTAGGGCTGTTAGTACTACAATGACAGATACGAGACGCGGATAGAGGGAGAGGGAGAGGTTAGAACGCACATCCTCGAGTGTCTTGGCGAATTCGGGTAGATGCTTGACGTGGTAGCTCACCCGACTGATGTCGTGCGTGGCTGCTGGCGTCTTTTCATCTTCAATGCTAGAACCATACTGAGAAGATGCAATTAGACGAGATCGAGCTTGAGGCCTGGCTGTCTTTCTATCTCGACGTACGGCAGAATCTCCACTGCTGAAACTATTCCCGTCCCCCGTGGGCTGCCATTCACTTATTGTAACGAACGGCCGGCTATCACCCATGATCGCATACGCTTGTGCAGATCAACCAAACAAAACCGCGACGGGAGGAAAGGATGAGAGGGAGGACGAGACGATATAGCAAGCGCTAAGGAAGAACGGAATATCGTAAGGATTGGTCTTTTACATGACTCTGCCGTACCGCATGGCGGATGAGAGCGACTTTGGCTGGCTAGGCTGGCTGGTTGTATGGGTTGTATGAATCAATCAATCAATCAATCAATCACGCTGG